GCATTTGGCGTCATTGCATGTGTTTTGTGAATCTGAAGAGGACTTTAGATTGGCATAGGACCTATGGGCTAATATCGGACTTATGGGATTGGACTAGACTGGGTTGGGATGCTTTCTGAATGTACAATTACCCTTTATATAAAACTATCTGTTACATACATGTTTTTGTGGATTTGTTTCTCTAGTCTACCCAGACTAACACATTGTCAAAATTCAGGACTGTATCTAAGTGCCAAGTCAAGGAAAATGAAATCCACAAGTAGATAATTAGATTGTAAAAATTGTAGAACATCAAATAAACACAAAAATCTTCCAGACAGATGGATTAAACAGCCGACTACTTATCAGTATAAAAATATTTCTGAGAACAATGAAAGGGAAAACTAACAAATCAGCATTCTATTTTAGTTCAACCTAAAACATTTAAGATTGTGTGCAAAATAAACATTTTGAGACAAAGGCAAAGAGTTTAAATGTCCACATAACTACTTCATGTCAGATACTACTAAAGAATATACTTCAGTAAGAAGAAAGAAGAAGAAAAATAAGCCAAGAGAGAAAAGTGGATACAGCAGAAAACTCTAGCTTTTCCCAGTATCCATTTTCTTCTGTTTTTTACTATGAACTCATGATTCCCAGAGTTTTAACTTTGAATGCAACTTCCTAATGAATAACCTTCTTTTATCTATCATTATTTTCAGCTTCACTTTCAGCTATTCATAACAAACAATTCTACAGGGTAAAATTTAATTTAAAAGAAAAATATTTTTAAAAGGTAAAAGTGTACTATAAAATAATAAAAGGAACAATACACAGTTCACAAAGAAATAAGAGTACATCCCTACCAAGCAACATTATTTCAAAATACAAAAAACAAAAATGCCCAGAATTATCAGGGCAAACCAAAAAATCCACAATAACGGTGATAATTGCAACAAGCACACCCAAAATTGGAAGCTTGTACCAATGTTCATTATACAGTAGTCAAAACATGGAAACAAACTGACTGTCCATCAACAGATGAATGGATACACAAAATGTGGCATGTGGCATACACAATGGAATATTATTCAGCCATACACAGAGTGCAGCCCTAATACATGCTGCTACTTGGATGACTCTTGAAAACATTATGTGAATTAGGTCAGTCACAAAAGGTCAGATCTTATGTCCACACTTATAGGTAAATGTAGAGAAACCAAAGTTTATTAGTGGTACTGGTGTTGATAAGGGGATGGGAAAAGAAAGTCACTGCTTAGGGGCCCTGGGTTTCCTTTAACTCTAGTGAGATAATTTAGGATAATGGTGATGGTTGCAAAATATGATAAATATGATTAATGTCACTAAACTATAACAGGGATGAAAAATCAGAGTTTGATTTAGCACTGATGAGCCACATAAATATCCTTTACTTCTTTAATCTTTCCTCCCTTACTATTATGGTTTTTGTTTTACCTCATTAATCATGTTAGATTTGAGTATGTTCATTTGTATATTTAAGATCATTCAGTACATGAAAGCCAAGACAGATAACCCTTAAGAAACAGTAACAGGAGTAATGGTTCCCTAGAGGTACCAGAAGAGGAAGGTGTGGGGGAATACGAAGCTGATGGCACTGATGACTGTCTAAGTCCACTCGATGGGATCTTAAAACAGAATTGTATGTGAATGGATATATTGGATAATGTAAGATATGGCAAAGAAAAAACTATTATAGGAAAAAAAAAACAGTAATAAGGGTTCCTTGGGATGAGGGTAGGGAAGGAATGAAATAAAAGGGAGCTGGTATCAAAGAGTTCAAAAAGAAAGAAAACATTTTGGTAGCCGGGCACCATCAGCCTTCTTCATCACACTTACTTATGCACACATTCGTCTGATGGTTTTTGTTCTTTGGTGTCTGCTACCTGATCCCTTCAACACCTCAAGTTCCCACAGGCTTGTTTGCTTCTTCTCTGTGGGCTTTGTTGCTTCCGAGCTAGATGGCCGCTTGTTTGCCTTCAAGTCTTTAAGATCTCAGATGCTGTATCTTTTGATAGCCGGGCACCATCAGCTTTCTTCACCACATTTGCTTATGTACACGTCTGTCTTCAGCAATCATGTCGGAAAGGTGGTTATCATGAAATTACCGTTTAGCTGAGCATGGTGCTCTTGTATTAAGGGAATGTGCACGAGGAGGCCCAATGTCCACCTGCCACCCTACTAATAAACCTATAAATATATGCACATAGGTCCATTTCCCCCATAATCTTAAATATATTTACATATGTACATGTCTGTATTTAGGTTTCTATGTATGCCCTTTGCCTCCTACTCCTTTCCTTTATTTCCTTATGGTTTCCTCCTGTTCGACTACCATGTTCAGCCTTCATTCTGATTTCAATAATTCCTCTCAGTTACCTCTCAGTTATCAAAACCTATAGCGTCTGGGGACTTGAAGGCTTGAA